ATAAACACACTAACATATATATATATATATATATATATATATATATATATATATATACATATTCGCAAAAAAAGAGACACGGAGTGATTAACTCGTATGCGTCTATTAAGCCTATATATAAACCTCGGTATATAAAAAATATCAGAAAACTATCAGATTTTGCATATCAGTTATCTAGGAAAACTTTGTTTTACATACATACCCACATATACATATACATATACAAACACATAAATAAAGACTCCTAAAACAAATGAGAAATATTAAAAATATATAGAGAACCACATAAACACATGCAATGTTATATAGGTAATAATATGTGTCATTCCATTAGAATGTCCTATCCGATGTTCAATCTCTTAATATGACAAATATAAAGAAACCTTTATAATGTAGACAATCATATATTTCTTGTGAGCAGGAGTAGAGGTCTATCCCTTGTGTCCTGTTTAGGAGTGTGTTTCCAGTTCTTCTTAAGATCTTCTTTTTAGTTGTCCCTTTCGTCTATATTGCATTATCGCCATGCTTGTATTGAATTATTAAAAAAGAAAAAAAATCATAATGAGAGGCTTACGACCATATCAGTTTGGAACATCTGTTCTCGTACGATCAGCGATGTTAAGCACTGTCGAAGCTAATCAGTACGTAGGTGAGTGATCACTTGGGAATATCAAGTGCTGTATCATGGTGAGCGTGTGGAGAAATGGATAACCGATAAAATAGAGGCGATTTCAAATTACAGTCGCTTTCGCTCTATTTACTTACGAGCTTTAGGAAAGTAACGAATCCTCTTTTTTCCCTCAGCTGTGGGTTAAATAATAAGAATTGTATCATTATATTATTATTATCTCCAAAAGATTATTTAAAACCAGAATGGTTTCTGGCTTTAAATAACTCTAAAATGTTGATAAATCGTAAAAATGAATTCAGTCAATCAATATATCATGAGATTTTCTGATAATTTTGATCAATTATTAATCATTTTTTTTTTTACCAATAACGATTTTATAAAGATGAACCCTCTACACTTGAACTAGCGTACCTGTTCTTTGATTCAACCAGTCAACAGGAGTCGTTAAAATATGAAGATTTATTTAGTTATTTTCTATCCGTACTGCTAATTTACCGATTGTACAATGACGCCATCTTCGTGGCGATAAAATGCAACATAAATTAAGATGAAAGAAAAACTCTGTTTAATGAAGAATGTAACGAATTTTTTTTTCTGTTTTCCTTCCTTTCATGCTTTGATCATCTGTCTATAACTTCTGGCACGCTACAAGTAAACAGATAGATAAATTTAGCAAATCAACGATTCAAACGACTGACCTGAAGGCAGGCCACAGGTCCACAAATAAGTCATTCTTGTAGATGCACAGTAAGTTAAAAATATTTTAAAGTTATTTTTTACAAAATAAAATGTAAAAATAAATAATGTATTTTAAATAGTGGGTTATCTTTCGTTTTTCTTTATTCAAATAATTAAACTCGTTTCAAATAAAAAAGAGGAATCTAACATTTCTTTTAATTTTATCTAATTTCAACACAAGAGAGTCATGTAAATATATTCTTTTTTTTTTAAGGAACAAATATAAATAAATTAAATTGACATTAAAATCGGATCCACTTCTAGACCAAAATAATTTTAAAAGAACTATCATTAAATAAACGTATAGATAAATAATAACATACACATATATATGAAGTTCCAATGTGTATGTGAATATATTGTCATATGTTTGCGTAAAATTCTTCAGAGTTTTCCGAGATATAAGATGGATTGTTGGCCGGAAAAAAGGAAAGAAACTCATTGAATATTGGAAGATTCCACAGATATTCTAACAGACATGTATTTCTTGGATCAAAAAGATGTTAATGCCGATAAGTACGAGTTTTCAAGGTGGGAGTAACAGCCTTTATAGGGAAAGGGTAGTTTGAATTCAACATAATATCATGTACTAATTTTAACCATGACGAACTCCAATAGAGCTCTTTCTTAAATATAATACACCCAATAAAATATACTTTTGGGCAGGTAATTGCAGGTTTGTTTTAGTTCATAATTCTGAACATTGATAATACCCGAGTTAGCCTTGAACTACCATTGGGAGACTTCAATATCTGTCTATATCTCTGAGATGAGGTATTATGATTATTTGCTTTATTTAAACTGTTACCCTCATCTTCATTGCTATATTCATATTCATTGTACAATCCGATATTTTAGATTGTTCTAGTTCCACGTGATATGACTCTTCAGGATGTCTCAGTTATTTCCTTTAAGAATTGAAATCACATATCCTTGGGTCCAGTCACTGGATCTAAGTAACGATTTATCGAGTGTGCAATGTGCCCTTGAAAACATATTTTTATGAATTTTTGGGACTTATAAAACTAATGTCTCAGCAACCAATTTTATCAGTGCACATATTGCATTTTTTTCTGTTATCATTGTATTTCTTACCAGAACTTGCTCTTAATCATTGATTTTCTCTAGCATTCCTTATTATTGGTTCACATATTGTATTCATTTCTACGCTTGCTCGGCTAAGGAGATTTTTCGTGGCCTTGAATATGTGCTCATTTCTTAAATTTACGTATTTTCCCGTGATGCTACCTGTCTAATACTTCAACCTAATCCCACAAGGGGGCGGTGATATCACTTTTCCCTCTATATGTGGTCAGCTACGCCCGACTTTTCCATTTACCCTCATGCTACTGTTTTAGGATGTTCTTGTAGTCTTAACTTAAGGGGCCGGCCTGTTTCTCCTTTGTTTATTTGTTTTTTTTTTGTTTTTTTTTTTTGTTTTTTTTTTACCACAGTTGCACGTGGGAGCCTACAGAGTCCTTAGCCATGTTCTTCTCTAGAGGGTGGGTGGTTCTTACCCGGAAGAGATGTCTGCGATGTGTTGAAACAGTTTTGAAGGTTGTCCTGATGTTTTATTGAGCATATATACTTTGGGATTTCTTGGGACACTTGTCATGTAAATGTGGCGTATAGTAAAAGACCATTGGATAGATTATGGAGTCCACAATTAATTGCGACCCGGTGTTGGGGAATATATTATCGGGAATGAGTTCAATTAAAAATAAGAATTTATCGTCTCTATACTGAAAGATTTCATCAAAGATACCGTCTTTCACAGTATATTTCCCGATATTTAACGTGTTTTTGTTTTCATTTCTCGAGGTGATTTTTGTTGAAAAGCAAACTTGTTCACATGACTATCCATGTTGATAAGATCCGAAGTGTGTTCTTTCTATCTTATTGATTTGCACCATACTAGTAAGGAGATTCTTGGTATACTTTGATCTAAGAGACGTTGCTGACGAGGTTCTATGGGCCAAATGCCGTCTTCATGAAGATGTAAACATCTTTTACATTCTTTTCCTTTATACCCACCATCACAAGTTAAACCAACATGTGTCGTAGCCTACGCCGAGCATTTAGATTTTGTTCTTTGAATTGTCTTTCTAGTTTTTGTCTGGTGGTCCTTAGCAGTACTTTTGTGATGTAACTTTTCGTTTCTGGTCATGTCTGAGAGAATATTTTCATGGCTTAGTGTTTTTCAGTAAATCCGTCACAACTTTCAAGTGAAACTAACTACAGATTCACTTTTGTCTCATTCGGCTGATTTCAAAACAAAAACATTCATTAACAAAATATTGAAAATATTTATGTCTGGAAATTTTTATACTGTTATTTATAAGTAGGTTAAACAATATTTTGTTAGCATAATTACTATTAATATTTCAATATTTACTTTGTTCAGCAATGTGGATAGAGGGAAATCAAGTTCCGTTATTTTCGAAGGATAGAGAATTAGATATCCGAATGTCGTTGATGTAATGATATGGCTAGAATTCTGAAACATGTAAAATGTAACAAACATTTCCGTTTAAATATTGGTATGTTGTGGGAAACTAAACGGAGATGGCGCATCATGGTATACACAATCATTAACCATTTCAAATTATTTCTAGTTTTTCGAATGTAAAGCGAAAACAGAAAATAATAAAAAACGTTATTTTTCCAGCTGAAAACTCTTATCTTAGGGTTATATTCATAATATAACTGTTAACATATTTAGCACGTTAATATTTTGAAGGCATATAAATACAACCAGTCTCCCTAATATAAAACACTAAGTTCCGTTCCATTATCAAGCGGTGATGAGAATGCTTGATAGTGAAACGGAAGTTTGTATAATAAGTTTTATTTTTATGTTTGAATTTGAATTGAAGTTTCAGTTTTGAAACATGGTTATTTCAGTGGATGATAATATATTAATATATATATATATATATATATATATATATATATATATATATATATATATATATATAGTAGTAGATGTCTGACAATTAATTAGAGATTCGATTTCCGAGTCGTGATGCAATGGAGCATTCTGCTTTGTCCTAATATCCTAAACGTTGTGGTTACGGTTTAGGTATATATCGGCTTTCTTTTTTGTTGTCGTTTCTTTTTTTTTGCAGTTTGCTTATTTTCCAGTTTTCCACTTTTTGTAAATCTTTTCTTGATTTTTTATTTATATTGATTTGTATTTGAATTTTCTTTCGGTAATTTGAAGTCTTTCCTTTAGGAGTTTTCTGCGTGTGTGTTCATGTGTGTGTGTGTATGTGTGTTCGTGTTTGCTTTTATGTCCGTATCATTGTGTGTTTGGTTTTGTGCGTGGATGTCAAAATGGCCGGTTTCAGGATAAAACAAACAACAATAGAATTGAAAATACGATTAAATATTTGCCGACAAAATCTCGATGTATAGAAAAATAATGTCTTGTGCTTTAGTGCAAAATAAAATATTTGTGTTTTTACACCTTGAAAAGAGATGAATACAAATTCTCGCAACCGTTTGTACTCAGTCGATTGATAAGTACCACCTCTTCTACATAAACTTACTCCAGATATCTCTTCCCCTAACCTATAAACAAAGCGGCTAGGAATCAATAGCCTCGCCGAATACTGAATGTAGATTTAAATCTCGGGATATCAATGCGCTTATTCTTTGTTTTCGCTATTAATCTCTGAGTAATTAGAATTGCTAAAATATATGAACTATATGTATATATACAATATATTAGATATATTTTCATTTCTACGAATTTTTTCAAATAGTGTTTTTTTTTTGTTTTGTTTTTTACTGTCAAAATATACATTCATCTTTTTTGTTTGAGTAATGACCATTCCTTTGAAGCCGATGAGATTAGCGCAAACGTCAATCAAATATCTCTACTTTCTTCTTTCTGTTATATTTTAAAGATCCGCCTAAGAACATTTTTAAATCACTTAAAAGGTGGATATCATTTAAATATCATTGATTTGATAAAGTAAATAAATTATGGTTTATTTTTAACATAGAAAGTAAAAGATGTGCATAGGTTACGTTTTCTGTGGATCACTAAGAAATCAATGGATCATATTTGCCCAAGCGTCTCTGAATGTGGAAACCAGAAAATCGAATTGATTTCCCGTCAGATTCGTTACATTCATTTACTTGGGAAATGTATGAATCGAATTTATCTCCTTAGCTAATAACTCACTCTCATTATCAAAATAAATGTTAGTGAAAATATTATATAATTTACGCGGAAAAGAATAATTGTATAAAACAAAAACAAAATGTTTCCTTTTTAAATAACCCACTAGTGGTTGATAAGTCGTAAAAACAAATCAAACTTTGCAATAAAATTAATATTCTAATAAACTACCACAATTTCTTTGAAAGTTAAATATCACGATACTCACACATACATATGCAAATACTATGTTAGAAAATGTTTCTTGGAGAAAACTACATTTGTATGATATATTTTGAATATCAGCCTCATGATTTTGGCGTTACTACTAAAATTCTTACAAACCAACCGCAATTTGAAATGAAATTCCTTGGGTTAAGTCACTTAAAGTTAAAAGCATTCAACTTTACGTCCAAGTGCATAAACTCGACCTTTTCTCACCCAACTAACGTCTGCGCATGTGCAACGCTTTCAGCATTTTAACTTCATGCAGGTATATTCACATTGAAGCGTATGTAAAGACACAATCGTTTCCAAGCGCTATGATAAACGGTAAATAGACCAAAAATGAAATTCGCCTCTGATGCCGAATGCCAAACAGTCTTATGTAGCATATCCGTTTTCTTATTACACGCTCGAGTAGCCAATTGAAAGAAGAGAACGTGAAAGATTCATATATAAATTCGTGTCAAGGTTGCGATTTGAAGAAAGAGCGACGAAAGAAAGATTAAAATTCTCATATGTAAACATTGAAAATCAATAAAACGCTGTAACCATTCCATTCGTAATGTCAGAAGGTGAGAATATTTTAGCATGCACGTAAAAACGTCTAATTGCATTTGTTGACGCAAAGCAGCCATATTTTTCAACCAAGAAGGCGTTGGATTTCTATCCAGCTACACTCGATGTCATAATTCTTGCCGGAAGTTGGCAAAAATTATTTCAACCAATTTCAAATAATTTTCCCACCAAATATAGGTGTAGATATGTTATAAATATTACAAATTCTGACACAAGACGACGATATAATTGTTTTTAACGAGTTTTATCCCACGTTGTTAATATTGCTTTTTACCGAATCGCAATTGGTCGATATAAACTTAGCTTGCTGTGAAATGAAATGTCAAATCGGAAATAGTTTCTAACCTGATTGAACTCCCAATTCAAATTTACGCAGATAGATGTTGACTTAATAGAATTTCTATTTCTTTCTCTTCTGCGAGTCTATACATGATTTTCTTTTAATATATATTATTTGTTCCACTAATTATACGATGATTCCATCTGATTATTTCTTGTCTATTAAAAGAAAACTTTCACAGAAATATGCACAATCCTCATTCCAAACAACGGAAAATCGAAAACATTTAAGAGGAACGCACATGAAAGATTTGTTCTGAAATATACGGAAACGATTTCAAGTCTTTTCAAGCCAATGTTTTAGGTTTTCGAGTTTAAATTTTATTGCTTAAAGCAAGACTGAACCTTGTAATAAACTTTGGTAACGACTGTCAGAAATTACGAATGGCTTCAGGGTTGACAACCATTTACATAAGGTTAGGTTATTCTCTGCGTTCCTCTATCCCTCATACGAGATATAAGAAAAAATCTTCAGGCTGAATAGAAACGAATAAACTCAGGTGAAATAATTTTTTCTGAAAATTCAAATACGGAAGATTCAAATACGGAAAATTCAAATACGGAAAATTCAATACGGAAAATTCAAATTCCTCAGTTTGTCAATACGGGAATTTATTTAAAAGTCTTTTTGATTATTTTTCGCTTAAATAATTATAGAGCCATTTTAATTATTCTTCTTTTGGCATTTTGAAATAAATCAGATATGCAAATTTTCAAAAATACCTTCTAATTATTTCCACCCTCGAAAATGAAGTTTTGTTAATTTTTTTTTGTTGTTGTTTTTGGTGGAAAGTTCTTATAAAAACGAATATGTACACAAATACTAATCGAATCTAAGTAACACACAAAAATGTTCAAAGGAATTTGTGCAGTAATAAGAAAATAATTAACAATTTCATGGGGTGCTTTATACTTATTTCCAGCACTGAATATATGTACCTATTTATATTTGGTGGAATAGTGGTCAGCGTATTGGACTGAGAACGGATGTGCCTCGGAGATCCAAGTTCGAAATCAACTAGAATCCATTCCATTCACTTACGTGTTAATAACCTTGGGAAAGGTATTAATCCTCTTCTCCCGCCAGATATGGGTAAATAGCAGGAGAGACTGGGATCCGTAGCCTTGGATAGCAGCTACTCTAGAAGAATGACAACTCCGAATTTAAAACCTGGGGACCTTGTGTATTCGGCCCTTCAAAAAGTGTGGTTGCTTGTGCACAAATCCTTCCCCTCTCTAATTAAATCATATGTGCTGGTGTCCGACTGTCGGTTCCTAGGAAATGAGCTCCTTCTCCATTATACATCGAATACATCAGAGATTCAACCTTATATATATATATATATATATATATATATATATATATATATATATATATATATATATATATATATATATAATTAGATTCATGCAGTTTCAAATGTGAAGAATCGACGGAAGGATTCATTTTTCCTCTCGAATGCCCTTCAGGACAATTCCATTCGTGCCAGTGCACAGAGACTCGAGCACAGAATTCCCTGAACAGAATAATGTTTTCAAAGAAAGGAAGCTCAGAGAAAATATCTACAATAATGTTATTTTTCCATCTTCGCTAATATTACATTAGAATTCCTCTGCGCAAATTAGCAAAGTGAACACTTTTTAAAATTAGTCGTAGATAATGAGTCGTTAACACCTCGTAATGTTGGTACCAATGTATTATTGACGACAAATATTTATATATATATATATATATATATATATATATATATATATA